AGGCCTCCGGCTGCGTGCGGGCGGCCCGCGCTCACCGCGCTTTAACTGGCGTAGGGGTCTGCCACCTGTTGGGCACAAGAGCTGCTTCTCCGTTACTTTTTTGTCATGTTGTCTGCCTTCTTCCTTTCCCAGCGCCTTGAATGATTGAGGGAATCGTCTGGTCACTGAGGAGGAAAAAGCTCATCCACAAAATAGCATTCGTGATTGTATCGCTGCCCTCTGCACACAGCGTGCTGGTGACTTGTTGATGGTTAGGGAAAGACAGACCCCATTCGTTGTTTCCTGTCGTCCTCTGCGCTTATCCGTGCCCTCTGTCTCAAGTTCCAGGCCCCCTGGGCTGTTTGCACAGTGTTTGCACCCTTTCCTGTAACTGTGCTGTAAGGCCAACTGTCTGAACTCGGCAACGTTTAGAGCTGTTGCTTGGCTTCTTCCTAAAACTTGCCTCACTAGCCCTTTGACACGAGCTCAGCTCCTAGTATGGTGGCTTATTTGTTTTTCTAAAAAGTCTGATTTAATCCCTTAGAGTTCATTTTTAAAAAGACAGAGGAGTGATTGATGATTTTGCCCAAACCCAACTAACTCAAACCATCAGAAGTCCTGCCTTCTGTTTTACAAGGTGTTTGGAAATGTGGACAGTTATAGGGATCAAGAGTCCAGAGCTGGTAGACTTATCACATGGAGTCTTGTCATTGGAACTTGCTGCTGCCTAAAAGTTAAATATTTTAGGTTCAGTATTTTACTCCAAAACCAAAATACAAATTATTTTTTCTTACAGAAAGACATGAGCAGTTAACTTCAAAGGGTTTAGTAGCAAATATTCTTGGACACTGATAATCCAGATTTATTTTTTCTAAAGTTCTTTTAAAAAGATAACATGATGAAATCAAAGCTGCTTATGGCTTTCTAAATAATAGCATAGGTGAGTCTTTTTGTATTATCAAGGGGAATATTTTGGCCTAGCACAGTGGTTCACACCTGGAATTCTAGCATTTTGGGAGGCTGGAGAGGATTGCTTGAAGCCAGGGGTTCAAGACCAGCCTGGGCAACATAGTAATACCTTATCTCTACAACAAATTTGAAAATTAGCCGGGCATGGTGGCGCATGCCTGTAGTCCCAGCTGCTAGGGAGGCTGAAGCAGAAGGATCTCTTGAGCCCAGGACTTTGAGGTTACAGTGAGCTATGATTGTGCCACTGTACTCTAGCCTGGGTGACAGAGTGAGACCCTCATCTCTAAAAAAACAGAAGGGGAATATTTTAAAGAACTTGGGGAAGGTACCATGGACTGCATTCATAGCTTGCTTTCTTTCATCTTCTTAGCATAGCTACTCCTTAATCTGGGAAAGCTCAATAAATACTCCAGACCATCCGGAAAACCTGTAAACATTAGAGTGTGAGGGGGCTTCATGATGGTCCAGAGTCATCCTCTGCTTATGGCAGGGAAGGCCGACACCCAGAGACAGGTGGACACCTACCCACCCCTGGTCTTCAAGTGAGGGTGTGGGCTGGCCTGAGGATCAGGTACACTGATGGCAAATCCACAGGCCATCACAGCCTACGATGAAGCTATGCACGGAACTAGTTCATCATTTTATTTTATTTATTTATTTATTTTTTTGAGGCAGAGTCTCACTCTGTTCCCCAGGCTAGAGTGCCGTGGCGTCAGCCTAGCTCACAGCAACCTCAAACTCCTAGGTTCAAGTAATCCTCCAGCCTCAGCCTCCCAAGTAGCTGGGACTACAGGCATGCGCCACCATGCCCAGCTAATTTTTTCTATATATATTTTTAGTCAGCCAATTAATTTATTTCTATCTTTTTAGTAGAGACGGGGTCTTGCTCTTGCTCAGGCTGGTTTCGAACTTCTGACCTTGAGTGATCCACCGCCTTGGCCTCCCAGAGTGCTAGGATTACAGACGTGAGCCACTGCGCCCGGCTCCAGTTCATCTTTTCTTTGAAATTTGGTCACTTGTTTATGCATTTAAGGGACAAGATGGTGTGTTGTCTAATTCAGCAGAGGAAGGCTTATGGTTTGCTGGCTTCCACATGACACTTGGTCTCTTTCTCTCCTACAGACTATTCAGTGTGGCTCTGAAAATGGTAAGTACATTAGGGAATGAGTATTGTGAGCTTTGCTTTGGAAGCATAGTTGTAATTTTAAGGGGGCCTGTACATTTAGGACATCGGAGACCAGGCACAGGGTGAACCATTGCTCTGTTAGCTGATGCAGATGAAGTCTCTGCTCCGAGGGAATAAAGAGGTGTTTCAGATGGGCTGGCACAGCAGGGTAGGTCTTGCCGTGCAAGGTGGAAAGCGATGCCTGACACTCTGCAGACGAAGATCACTTCTAGTGAGGACCAGAATGCAAATGTTTCACAGAAGAGTAGGTGTTTGAGATGGTAGCATTTAAAGAATGGGTGGGCTTCTGCCCAAGAGGTGTGGGTAAGGAGGGTGAGCTGGAGAGGAGATGGCACCAGCAAAGGCTAGGAGGTGGGAACAGGGTGGCTGTGCAGGCCTTCTGGCTGGAGTCCAGGGCTGAGGTCCAGGGCAAGCAGTACTGACCCTAATAAACATGTTAAATACACTATGTGTGTGTGTGTGTGTGTGTGTGTGTGTGTGTGTGTACTTACATACACAGGTATCCCAAGTGTCCTGTAGGTTGGCACCAGGAGATTGAGAGTATTTCTCTTAGGTCAACATCACCTCGACTATAAAACAGCCAGCACCAAGAAACATTTGGCCTACGGTAGCAGGAAGTGATGCATTGTTAATGGGGGTGGACCAGGGTAGGTCACTGAGAGGAGATGGCATCAGATGGAGCTGGAAAAAGGAGTGTCACGGGAAGTCTTGCCTTTTCCCAGGGCCGTCTCAAGAATGGGAGAGCCCACATATTCTGACCCCAGGAGACTTGAGGGATCTCCAAGTGGAACCTGTTAAAACCAGTGTTGCAATGGAGGACTATTCAATTTTGATGAATATAAGCTGGATACTCCGGGCAGATGGTAAGTTTGCCCCAATCAAATATAAGGCCTAAAGTGTCTACTAAACCAGAAATGTGTAGACGATTTGACCCATTAATTCCACTTCTAAGCATTCCCAATGGAAATAAATACATGCACCAAAAGCCACATCCGAGGCTGTTCATAGCAGCACTATTTCACAACAGCCCCAAGTTGGAAAGGACTCAAAGGCCCAGCAGCAGAATGGAATCACCAGAGGATTCCATGACAGCAGTGAGAGTGAGTGCTCTGTAACTACACGCAACATGCATGAATGTCACAGACGTAAGAAGCCAGATTCAAAAGAGTTCGTACATTTACATCTGTTTGCATGCTTACAGTTGTACATACCATGATTCCATTTACAGATAGTGCTGCAAAACCAATCTAGTGGTTAAGAAGTTAGGACAGTGGTTACTCTTGGGGTGGGTGTGACAAAGGAAGCATGAGGGAAGCTCCTGGGGTGTTTCTTGACCTGCGTACTGGTCACGTGAGTGTGCAAATGCAAGTGGCACGCTTATGATCTGTGTGCTTTCTGTATATTATACTTTGTGGAAGAAGATAGGGTAAGGCAGAGATGATTCCCTCTAGTTTAGGAAAAGCACTGGCTTAGGTAGGTGACTTCTCCACTCCCTAAATGACATCATGAAACTCTTGGCATTTCCCCAAGATTACACTGCAAGGCAAGTCGAGTTTCTTTGATGAGCTAATCCTGGTATCCTAATGCCCACATTTGTGGTTTCCATCTGCTAAATTCAGGTAAAGTCTATCCATTCAAGAATCCAAGAGTGCCAGGCACAGAGAGCTGAGTTGGCTACCGTCTCTACCCAGCAGGGCTTTCAGGGGAGTGGGGGAGGCGGACACAGGCCCAGTGTCAGGGGAATCCCAGAAGGGAGCCGTGTTTCTTCTAAGTGGAGTGGGGCAGGGAGGCCCGGGAGAGGGGCCCTCGTAGACATTAAGTGAGATGAGGCAGTAAGGCTTTGGCCCCTTACCTGGCACAGAGTGAGCTCTCTTTTGGCTATTGTCATAGGCTATGGTGCATGAGTTAGATGGGGTTTAAAGAAGACTTGAAAGAAGAGAATGGGGAGAAAGGGCATTCCAGAGGGAAGAATCAGCAAGGACAAAGGTGTAGTCAGATCTGGCATGGTGTGGTGAAGACTCCCTCAGAGCTGTGGGGGTCTCTGTGGGTTCTCCAAGGCAGGCCTGTTCTTAACCACTTCGGTACCAGCCTCGACTGTAGTCGACAGCCACAGATGAACGCGCAATGCGACTTTAGCCGACAGCTGTGATATGACTTTTCTAATTTTTAATTTATCAAAATAAAATTGTGAACATTTAAAAATAACGTACTGAAGACATATATGTATATGTTACCTATTCTGATTTACATTACAAGTAAAGCTGCCTGTAAAGAAAAACAAGCTTTCAGCGCTTTCAAGCTTTCCTCATCACACCAGAGCAGACCGGACCCGTCGTCCATGCGCAGCGCACACCACCGTGCGGACCACGAGTGCCCGCGGTGGGCACGGTTTCACGGCCGGGGAGCGCCGTGCCGAAGTGGTTAAGAGACCCAGAAAAATGCAGAGCTACGGTCACCTTTGCAGGCACCCTGCAAAACCCAGGCTGACCTCGGAGAAGAAAGGAGCTTGGCCTTTGGTCTTTGAATTCACATCTGCTGCTGCTGAGCTTTGTAAGCTTAAGCAAAGCTCCCTGAAACTCGCCACACCTCACTCACTCCATCTGTGAGCTGGGCAGATGGTTCCTGCCTTTCAGTGCTGTTGTGAATAGGAGCCGAGGTGTAAAGGAAAGCATGCTGGCAAGTATCTAGCACATGTAGCCACACAGTAAGTGCTAAATAAACAACTGCCCTCTTGCCTGTCTCGGCAGCCAGCGTCCGCTTGTTGAATGCTACCAAGATCTGCGTGACGGGCAAAGGCAAATTCCAGTCCTACAGCTGCGTGCGGTGCAATTACACAAAGGCCTTCGAGAGTCAGACCAGACCCTCTGGTGGCAAAGTAAGCACTTTTAGGCACTTGGCAAACTGTGGCACGCTGGGCCCTTTGGGGAACATGGACGGCATGCTGCACCAGCAGGCTGCTGAGCAGCTGCAACTCAGCTCAGAGCTTGGAGCAGGGTGCCTGGGTTCGAATCCCATTTCTGGCCTCTTCTACTCTGTCCCCTGGGGAAGTCAGCAACTCTAGTCCTCAATTTCCCTATCAGCAAAGTGAGAGGAGCTGGATAAATTATATCCTGACTGTAAAATTTTACACTTCTCTGATGTTGTGACTTACACTGGCAAACTGTGTGGTGCCCCATCCCTGAGCAGACACTGGCTAGAGACATGCGTTTCAGCAGAATAAGGAATGAAATTGCAATGAAAAGGGCCACACGCAGAGGTACTGTTTCTGCATTGCATGGGTGTTGGGAACTTAGGGTTCCTTGCTTTGCCTTTCAGTGGACGTTTTCCTACCTAGGCTTTCCTGTGGAGCCAAACACACACTATTTCATTGGGGCCCATAATATCCCCAATGCAAATATGAATGAAGACGGCCCTTCCTTGTCTGTGAATTTCACCTCACCAGGTAAACTTCCTCACTCTTCTGTTGTTCTGTCTTGTCTTGCCTGCTTTGGGGCATGTGGTTTGGAGCTGAAAGCCCAGGGAACCCTGGATAAGGCCTTTGACCTGGCCAAGTGCTTCCTCACCTATAATATGGACATGGTATAACCATGCCTCACGCACAGAGCAGAGAGGATTGGGTCAGGTGAAATGTAGGAAAAAGCCCCTTCCTGTGTGTCAGGCACAGTGCTGAGTACTTGACATGTGACATTTCACTTAAGCCTCCCAACAGCCCCAAGGTTGGGATAGCCCCATTTTACAGATGAATTGAAAGGTTAAGTAACTTGCCCTGGATTATACACACAGTAAAACTGAAGCTGACATTCAAACTCTCATCTTTCTTGACTAATGCACTTTAGCTGCTTTTTCTGTCATTGATGCAAAACGTTTGTTTGTTCCAGTCTCAGCTTTCTAGTGGGCTGCGTGTGGCCAGGCCTCTGAGGACCTGCAGACTCCAGTAGGCTCGTCCCTGGGCTGCCATGAGGGGCAGGGTGGTACTCAGTGCAATGCCAGGCTGTGGGGAGAGGCGGGTTCCTGTGTATGAGGGCCCATCTGGGCTGGGTCACCTGCTCTGTGCCCCGGTCCCGTCATCTGTCTCAGGCGAGCCATCAGAGTCAATGGGGCAATTTCCAATTTGTCGTTGGCCTCTGAGGTTGTGGTCCAGGGTGTCTTTGGTGCCATGCCATTTCCTATACGGCAGTTTCCAGCTTTCTTGATGAGACAAAACCTCATTTTGTTTTCAAATAAGCTTTTTTATTTTGTGATAATTTACATTTACAGAAAAGTTGCAAAGATAATAAAAAGAGTTTCCAGATACCTCTCACCCAGGTTCTTCTATTGTTGACATCTTGTATCACCATGATATATTTGTCAAAACTAAGAAACCAACATTAATACATTTCTAGTAGCTAAACTCCAGACTTTATTTGGATTTCACCTGCTTTTCCATTAATGTCCTCTTTCTGTCCCATTACATTTGGTTCCTTGTGTCTCCTCAGTCCCCTCTGGGGCCTGGCATCCACCTGCTGAGGTCCACCTGGGTTGAGGCAGTGCCCGCTAGGCTCATGTAAATCTACACTAGGCAGATTGCTCCATTCCAGGTTCTGGAAACAAGTCACTATGTCTACCCCACTCTAGGGTGGGGATTGGGGGTAAATTAAGTTTCTTGTCCTGGAAGAGGCAGTATCTACGTATACAACCAAACGTGTCTAAAGAGTCTTCTCTTAGGGATCACAGATACCATTTTGACAAAGGCTGTATTTAAATTAGACTCTGGTTGTCACATCATGGGGAGATGATCTTTGGTTTAACAGTAAAATGTTAGTGGCCCATTTAAATTTGTCATCGGATATCTGGAATGTTTTGGCAATTTGTTACAGGTATGGTATGCCTGTGTGTGTGTACTTATTGGCAAGAGGGTGGAACAGAGATACCTTTTCTAAAATATAAAAACTTTCAAATTTCCAGGCTGCCTAGACCACATAATGAAATATAAAAAGAAGTGCATTGAGGCAGGTAAGTAAATACAGCATTTGCTTTTATTATTTGAAGAAGCTGGTAACTTGAGCCAGCATAGCTCTCTCCATCTTTTTATAGATGAAGCAACTGACGCCTATGGGATGTGGGATTATGTATCCAAGCTGCTCAGACGGTGAAGGCAGGAGCACCCAGGGCTCCTGATCCCTTACCAGCACTTTGCCCACGGAGTTGAGCAGCCCGTCCAGGGGGTAGACTCTTAGTAGGCTTATGCAGCAGAGCAACAATGCAGCCACACAAAACCGCCCCAGCCCCTTGGCTAACATTTTAGCCCAAATTGCACTTAACAGTGATGCCGGCAGAAGGCCCCTCCTGATGGCTTGGAGTCCTGTAAGCCCTTTCACCTGCCCAGACACCAGCACCGCCAAGCCTGTGGCCATGGGGACCCTGAGAACCTTCTGTTAGGATTCACAAACATTCAAGTGGGAGTGTTAGCTAATGGAATGACCTAGAAACATTCCCTTATCCTGTGTCCTTAAAAGGGATCACCTTTCACATGCTAGACTATTAGAACCCAATCCCTTCCCCTTTTAAGTTTGAAATAAGCGCCTTTAGAATAATCAGTCGCTAATGCCCAATTTCCAAGGGTTTGTGCAAATTTCTGTGTGATTTAATGTTGGGATGGTAAATAAGGGTTGAGGCATTTAAGGGGATTGGTTCCAAACTTTTAGGCACTCTTCACCCCTCAAGGCATCCCTGTGTACCCTGTCGAACTGCGCTGCATGTGCTGTGCTGGTGAGAAGGTGGATTTGGAGCACTGAGCTTCCTTTCTCGCCTCCCCAAGAGTGATCTGTAGGAGTGTGAACCCTAGGGTGTGAGGAGGTCGGAGAGCCTTGAACTCCTAAAGACAGTTCTGAGCCAGGGCCTGAAATGGTCTCCTAGGTGGGGAAGATAATTCATGCTATACGTCATGTTCCTGGAAATCAATCTAGTCCTTATTTGCAAGTCACATCAATGAGACAACTGACTTTTTTCTGACAGAGTTGATCTGTCAAGGTATCCTCTAAACTTTGAGCCATTTCCTTCTTTCTTTGCATCCAGTAAAACTGGCAGAGTTGTCTGATAGATGAGGTTCCTGGAACACAGAATGTTCTAATGGTTTTAGTACTGATCATTAAGTCACTTGATCTGTAATCTTAGACATGTCTCCTAACCTGTGGCTCCTTCTCCCCATCCTGGGAAGGAGAAAATACTGACACGCACCCCCACCCCACCCCCTGCCAGCCCGTATCTCAAATCAGAGGTTAAGGACATAAGTGAGAAGTAGAACCTGGTCAGAGCCTCCTACCACCCAGGGAAGCTGTTTTCAGCAGAGCAGCCACGTGGGATCCCTGTACTTTCCTTGGGCAGCAGATACTCTGGGACTCTGGGAGCAATGATAAGAAGTTCGCTGTGCAGTGGCGTCCCTGTCTCTTAGATGTGTGCCTGAGAACTTAGATTTGGTTTTGTAAAGCCCTTTGGGGAATTTTAGTGAGGCAGGAGGTAGCAGGTTCATCCACGTGATTCTCTCTCAACTCACAGGAAGTCTGTGGGATCCAAACATCATTGCTTGTAAGAAGAATGAGAAGACAGTAGAAGTGAATTTTACAACCAGTCTCCTTGGACATAGATACATGGCTCTTATCCTGAATAACACCGTCATTGGGTTCTCTAACGTGTTGGAGGTACTCTTTCCCTTCATTCCCTTAACGTACCCCCATCATCAACTTCCAGCTTTCCTTAGCTTGTTGATGGAAAATGAGGACACTTTAGGATTCCTGAACAGCCTCTCTTTGGAGAGAGCACACGACTCTCTATTGTCCAAATGTGCTGGGCCATTTCGGTTAATTCAACAAATAAAAATAAGTCTCTGTGGGCATCCTGGATATGTCACTGTGAATCTAAAACCAAAAAAGTAGGAGTTTCAGAAGTATGAAATGAATCCTTGTTCAAACACAGTCCAAGGCTCGTTCCCTGGTGGTCTTTGATCTGCTCACTCATGACTCAATTCTTCACTGTCTCACTTATCTGCACCAGAACAAACTATCTCGGACGTCTGTGGTGATTCCGGTGACTGGGGAAAGCGAAGGTGCTGTGGTTCAGGTAAAGTTTAACAGGTGCTTTAGGGAGGGGAGGGATACCAGAAGGCCAACTGTGCCCCCATATTGCTTTTGATGCCTCCTTTGAGGCATGAGTTCATTCTCTCCTCCCAAACACACTTTCGCCAGCACACCCGAGTGTTGCGGTGTTAATGAAGGCTCCTCCTCTGCAGTCTCCGCGGTGCTGAGCCAGGAAGCTGACCTTGCAGGCATGGTCCTTCTGCTTGTATTAGTGACTGCTGACTTTCCAAAGTGCTTTTATTTCATTTCTGTCACAGACTCTCAGGGATAGGAGTTCCATCTTAACTCCCCAAGCATCAGTTTTAACAGCAAAATGAAGCTGCAAAGGATTTGAAATCTGAAGGTCTGGGTTCCGCATGAGTGTGTGGACTTTGGGGAGGGACTGCTTGTCCTCTCAGGCCTCTGCTGACCAACACAGAAAACAGGAAGTTGGACCGTAGATGCTCTCAGGTCTCTTTCAACTCTGAGTTATACACTGGGGACATGGAGGGTCAGGTGGGACACAGCTGCACCCAAGAGAATAAGGAGCTGCTGTTCCTCATTCTCTGGAACATGGAATGCCCAGCCACGCTGGCAGGGCATTACGACTACGCCCCTTTTCCAGGGAGCCATAGCATTTCCTAGTCAGAGGGGACCTGCCTGTTGTAAAGCACCGACTGAGGTCATTAAGAGCACTGCTGCTCTTTGTCTAGAGAAATACTGTGTGTTAGATGTCGCCTAGCCCTTTCAGATACAGAACTCAGCATGTTACTTACACGTACAGAGTTTAGATTCACAACTCGGGGGTCTTAGGTGTTTCAGTGTCTTGAGTCACTGGTTTAGATTTTAGGATTTTGTTACAGATGTGTGAACAAGAAAAAAATGCCCATGACAATGCTAGATATAGCACTGAAACCAGAAAAAAGGGAAGAGAGGGTTTGGTGGAAGTAGGAATAATACTGAGATTTTGCTCTGAAGCATACTGTAAACTTTCTGTCTCTCATTTTTCCTCAGTTGATTCCATATTTCTCTACTTGTGGCAACGACTGCATCCGACACAAAGGAGCTGTTGTGCTTTGCCCACAAACAGGTGTTCCCTTCCCTCTGGATATGAGTAAGTGCCCAGTGGTTTTCATAGGATAATCAAAGCGGTTCAGGACATGAAGGGCCCAATTTTCACTGTCCCCCACTCAGCATGTGGCAGGGCATGCGCACATGGGGAGTGTGAGGGGTGTCTGCCTATGTATGCTGAACTGGGACGCACAGAAAGCCAGCAAGACTGTCCCAGAGAGCCTACAACAGAGTAAGAACAAAGGCTTTATGTGTAAAACCACTCACGACCCTTTATGAAGCAGGATACACCGAAGAAAGGAAAAAAAATAAACAGTGTAAAATGGATGTTCTCAGTGTCACAAGGATCTGCTGAGAACGGTCGATGGCGCAAAATGGCTGGGTGTCCAGTCACACGTTTCACTACATTTTGATCCTCTTACCAGTCTCAGCAGCCCAGGCTGAGCTATTGCTGTGACTTGATGCGGTCCCACAGCCACCATTTGAATAAACAAATTAGGAATACTGGCACCAAAGACACGCCTCACTGGTGCCTGAGAGCAACATGTTCTGGAAAATGTGTCTCTAGACTTAGAGAAGTTTCAGTTAGTTCCTTCATTACAGATGGACTAATAAAATGCTGCCAGAACTAGCCAAGGGATGGGGTCAAAAGTTAGAAGGTGTCATTCTTAGAATATCAGCCAAATGAAGTAAAGACAACTCAGGTCCCTAACAATCCTGACTGCATAGGCACAGGGCCTCATAGATGCCTGAGCACTTCATGCCTGAATTTACCTGACCCTCGATGTTCCTGTGAGGAGGTGGCATTATCCCTCGGATATGTCAGTCTAACAAAACAGCCTTTAAAAATACCGTCTAGCCCAAGGCACAGTGGCTGACACCTGTAATCCTAGCACTTTGGGAGGCCAAGGTCGGACGCCAGGAGTTTGAGACCAACCTGAGCAAGAGTGAGACCCCGTCTCTACAAAAAATAGAAAAATTAGTTGAGTGTGGTGGTGTACACCTGTAGTCCCAGCTACTTGAAAGGCCTTAGCCTTAGCAGGAGGATCAGTTGAGCCCAGGACTTTGAGGTTGCAGTGAGCTATGATGACACCACTGCACTCTAGCCAGGAGACAGAGCGAGACCCTGCCTCAAAAAAATGCCATCTATACATACTATGTATGTAAGCAACTATACCCAGAATAACACTGATTCTTCAAAGAACAAAAAAACAAATGTGAACTCTGGTCACTGCAGTGAAAATGCTTGTGCAGGTAAGGAGTGAGAAGCCAAAGAGCTTGTAGAAGACTGTTAACCTCCTGGTCCCACATCCCTTTTGATAATCTAATGGAAAAACAGAGATTAGGAGACTCCCAAAAGATCTTCTGACCCTTGGTTTTAAAGGGATCTAAACTTCTACGAAGTATAGGGTAAAAAATCTTAGTTTTCAAATGGGAGATAAGCATGGTTTTGTTTCGCCGAAGGTGAGTGTGCTTTGTTTTCTCCAGACAGCAGCGTGCTGGGAGATTGGCTGCCTCTCCTCCTCCCCGCTCTGCTGGTGGTCACGTGGGTGCTGGTGGCCGGGATCTGTCTAATGTGGAGGCATGGTAAGCCTTGTAATTTTAAAAAAATATCCTAATAAGGAAATAACATTAAAACATTTTTTTCTTGTTGCCAAGCCCCTGTAGCAGATACATTTATTTTACCTCTAGAGGCAGTCACATGTTGGCATGTCCCAGAGTTAGACAGCATTTATTTAGTGCCTTCAGTGTTCCTACAGACTGACAGGATAATGACTGGATTACATCTGCAAGGTTAAAGCGCAGGCAGGACTTCCAGATCTGGTGATTATCACCTGTTTTATTTTTATCATTGAGGTATCTACAAGTACTGAAATAGGCAAAAGAGAAATGGTAACAAATTGCACTCTATCTGTGATAAGTACTCTATGCTAGTTCCTAATTTTTTTTTTTCGGCATATTATGGGGGTACAGATTTTAAGGTTTCAATAAATGCCCATTTCCCCCCGGGAAGAGATTCTAATCATCTTAACAAGCTTGTTCAACCCTTGAGTGTTGTTCTCTTCCCCTTCTGTAAACCTATGACCCTCACATTAGTTCTTCACATAATCCAAGCTCATTGTAGGCCTTCTCTCTTCTCTTGTTTCTCTGCTCTATTTCCTGTGACTGATTTATTTTAATTGGAGGGTGTTATCTTCCAGCTCTGAGATTCTTTCTTCCGTTTGATCTACCTGTTCTTGAGACTTTCCACTGTATTTTGTAGTTCCTTGAATTGATTCTTCATTTCCAGGAGTTCGGTTACACTTTTCTTCATTGTGTCTATTTCTTTTCCCATATCTGGAGGCTTTTTGTGGTTTCTTTGTGTTGGTTATTGAGTTGTTGTTTCAGCTCGGTGAGTGTTCTTATGATTACGAAATTCTCTTGTCATATTGGTTGCTGATTTTGGTTGGTGTCCGTTTCTAGGGGGCTGGTGCTCCTCTTTGGGGGTGTGTTTTCCGTTTGGTTCTCTCATATTCTGAGTTCTTTTCGCTGATTTCTCCATGTCGATCAGTTGTTGTTTCTTTCCTTAAGTTATTGTTTGGGTATTCACCACCTTGTTTAGTTTCTCAGGCGTCTAGGTGGTGTCTGTGGGTGAAATTGGCACACCTCCCTGTATATTGAGTCGGTGGGTGCCGTGGAAAGGTGTGCACGAATGCCGTCCCTGTCAGTAGGTGCGTTTGCTTGGAGGAACAGGCTATGCTGTTGATTTTGTTCCTGTTATCAGCTTTCTTCTGGGCGGAGCTGGGTTGGGTAAGCCTGCCCTCAGGCCGTTAGCAGGGGTCAAGATTCTGTTCTAGCTTCAGGGAAAGCTGTCAGGGAGGGGCTGAATGGTCCTGCTCAGCCAAAGTCTGGGTGGGGGTGGGGCTGTCTGAGACCCAGTCTGGAGGGCCTCGCTTCTTTCCACCTCCCAACTCCGCGCTACTCTGGGCCTCGCCAGCAGGCCAGACCACAAGCCACCAAGGCCTCCCCGGACTGTGATGCCGGCAGGGAGGTTCCCTTCACCAGGAAGCCACCTGGGGTTGCGCGCACGGCCTCCTCCTGGGAGGAGGGTTGCCCTCTAGACCCCTGATTGCCCTGGAGGCACACCACCTCAGTAGGCTGTTCATGTATAACTTCTGTGCCCGGGCAATGCTAGCCCTCGGTGCAGGGGATCTGTCTCCAGTTCCAACTCTGGGTCCCAGAGTTCAAACTGTATCCCCACCAGGGAGAGGATTTCCGGTCCAATTCACCCACAGGGAGCCCAAGCTGGGTCTATGTCTCTCAGCCTCCTGGTCGGCACCCGTTCTCCTGAACACGGTGCAGCCAGCACCTGGGAGGCGGGCGGGTAGGGAGCTCACAGTCTGAGTTTCCCTGAGTCAGCTGTAGGTCCCAAAGGGAAGGTCCCGTTCCCTGGAGGTGCCTCTGGCTGGTGGCTGTATTGTCTCTCTGGCAGCCGCGGGTAGGGTCAGTGGAGGGAGGAGAGGCATATGGCGCCTGCCTCGCGGCTCGGGTCTGTGCACACGAGGTGCCCGGAGGAAGTTGGGAACCTGGTGCCACGTCTGCTAACAGGCTCACCGCTGCTGGTGCGGCCGTCTCTGGGCTGATGTCGCAGATCTCTCCACCCACTGGGAGCCCCACCAGCAGTCCAATGCAGGGGAGGGGAAACAGCAAATCCACCTACCTTGCCGCTGGTCTCTAGCTGCATTCCG